GTAGGATCCGTGATGGTACAACGATTTCGAACATGCATGTATGAAGCGTGGCGGGGTCATAGCCCCTCGGTGCGGCTTCAGCCGTATGCGCGACGGTGGCGGTGGATACATGGCAGCTTCTTCCAGCGAAGGACTACCAAAAGTGTTCGGGAGTTCATGTTCTCAGTGTTCGTGGCCGTGGCACGCATGCTGCGATGTGCCAAGTTTTTTATGGCACTGCGAACAGGGGCGCAGGTAATGTCTAGCACTGGACGTGGCCAGGGATGCGCGGATTAGACGGGTGCAGACGACGATCCTCACGGGCAAGACTGCCACAGTGCGAAGTGGCAAAATTTGGTACGCTACAGCAATGGCCTCGCCTTCGAGGACCGTAAGAGTTGACAACTCTGCCTGGGCGGAAGGCCCTCTGACGCCAGGGGAAAACGGCGGCGGCGGCGGCTGCGCTGGCAGAAGCCGCACCATTTTTTGGAGGTAGGGTTTCCGGGATCGCCCATGCGTCGGATTGCTTCGGCTTCCCCACAAGGTCAGAAGGTCAGGCGGCGAAGCCCGGATCGTGCGCGACGTTCGCGGGCCGGAGCATGCGGCAGGTGCGGAGTGGGTCTCGGTAGATGGGCTCAGCCCTCGTGCGGGAGTGCTGCCATCGAGCACACATGCAGCAGAGATAGCCCCTCGTCATCACCACACCGGGAGGTAACCGCTCGGGCTTCGGTGGTGTGGAGCGCATGGTGCACGGCCACATGGTCAGATGGTCGGCCCAGCTGCTTCTCGCAGCAGTTCTAGGGTCCACCACTGGCGTCGTCGGCGGAGCAGCACGTGGGCGGTCCCTCGCAGGCCAAACGGCAGTTCGCTAATACCGCACGGCCTGTTTCTGGCAGGAGGAACATCCACATTGTTAATCTTTAATTCTTCGAAAGTTCTTTGATTTTCTGGTGGGCCAAGATCTTCTCATTTCTAATTATTCCATCCTGGGCCTCTTCCTGGCCACTGGGGGGCCAGGAACAATTAGAAATGAACACAATTAGAAATGAGCACGATTAGCCGTAGCCATTTTGGCTCAAGCTGGGTCATCCGCGGCGGCGCGCCTCCTGCGATGGCGGCGGCTTGGGCGACGGGACGCAACGGCTGCGGGAGGCGGCCAGCCTGCTGGCAGCCCAAGGCGCTCAGGCAGCAGGAGAACCTGGTGTTGGGCCCCTCTGCGGCGAGACGGGCGGCCAGGCGGCGGCGCTTGAGGGCGCTGGAGGCCTGGTGCCATGCCGTGGCGGGCCCCTGCAAGCCGGGGTCATGGCAGGACCGCGAGCGGGCGGCCAGGCCCGCCTTGGTCAGCGCGGTGGAGGGCCGGCGGGTGGCGGGCGCATCGCGCCGGCGCCGCAACGCGGCTATCCACGCAGCCTGGGCCCCTCCGAGCGGCTTCCTCAGGGCGACCGCCGTGGAGATCGCGGAGGTGGCGCAGGGACCCCGCCTAGGCTTTCAGCTCGAGGCGGAGGAGGCCGAGCACGTGAACTGCGACGTGCGTGGCTTCGCTGAGGCTGTCGAGAGCGAGAGCGAGCAAGAGAAGCGGGCACTGGTGCCGCTCAGCGTGGACTGGGAGGCGAAGCTGAAGCCCGACATCAGGAGGGGCAGCAAGTGGCTCGGGGTCGAGGGGAAGGTCATCCACGTCGCCGAGCTCGAGCCGAAGTTACTCCACCTGGCGTGTTCTCTTTCCAGGGCTCCTTGGCGGCAGCGGGGGCGGAGGAAGGAGGACGATGATGACGATGATGGGCCCATCCAGGAGGCGTCGGAGGACGGCGTCGGAGTGGGCAAGTTTGCTGGCACGGAGGTCGGCAGCGAGGACGAGTCGGACGGCGACGACGACTCACAGAGCGTCAACCACATGGCGTCGGAGGGCACCGTGCTCAACGGCGGAGATGGGCTGGCGCCAGGCGTTTGGCAGGAGGCCGACCAGCGAGCGGAGGCAAGGGCCTTCGCGCACGGTTTGGCAGCAGGCTGGCGGCTGGCCGAGAGGGGCGGCCACCATCAGATTGCGAAGGAGGCTGTGGAGGTGGCAGCTCCGCAGGACGATGTCGACGCGTGGCGCGGGGCGATCGTGAAGTTCTTCGAGCCGTGCGAGTGCGTGTCGCTGCTGCAGGAGAGGCATCTGGAGCAGCCTCGAGGTGGCGGTCAAGGAGTCGAGGGCGTTGGCATGAAGTTGGAGTCCGAGGTGGTGGACACCAGCGTCGGCGCCAAGGACGGCGTGCGCATCTTCGAGGAGGTGCGTTGCTTTTTCGGGGTGGCCTAGTGGCTGCCTGCATTACAGCTCGCGTGCAGCCGTTGCGCCGCGAAGCATTGCCACGGCAAAAAAAAATGAGCACCATTAGACATGAACGACGTGTAGTTGATTTCTGATCGATCGAGAGATCACCAGCCGCCTTCACAATCACTAGTCGAGCGCAGCCGTTCCAACGATGGCGGCAGCGACGGCCACGAAGGCGACTTCAAACGAGGAGCCGACTGCCTGTTTCGTGCGCCGCGTGCCAGGGCCGGGCAAGCACATACTCAGATGACACACTAGCCTGGGCCATTCCACCGAGGAGACATGCGCTTCCCGCGGCAAGCCTGGAAGCCACAGCTGGTGCCCAGACAACATCCTCTCGCGCCCGCTAGTTTCGCGGATTCACTGGGCGGCAGACCCAAGATTTTGTCTAGACGTGTCCGCGGGTGGCACCGCAAACGGGAACGTCATATCATTATGAGGGTGTTTCCCCCAGAGCTAAGGCAAACAAGCATCGCAATCTCGGAAACCAGATATTCATTCTGAAACCCGGCAGAATTAATGGACATATGCTTTGGGCAACGCACCTTGAGAAGTGCTTCGACACATCAGCAGGCGGAACAGTATAACAACATCTGGGAATTGGCGAGCATCATGCGATCTGGGATTGCAGAGATGAAAGCGATCAAACAAGCATCAGTCAGCGTTTTTTTTATCATTGCGCCTGCAGGTGTGCCGGGTCCCGTCTGTTCGAAGAAAACCACGCCAGGACAACCTCGCACGTGTTTGGACAACGCAGGTGGCCATTCCAGGGAAGGCAACCACGTCCTGATGGGGAATTGCGTTGACGGGGATCCAACCCAGATGTTTGTATACTACGCCACTGACGCTGCGACCACGGCGCCTGGGGACTGCGCGAGAGAGGACGGCTGCAGCATTAGCGAATGGTGCCACGGCCCCGTCTACATTGACTGGTGTCCGGCCCAAGTGGAGCCATGACCCCCCTCAGTGTCCAGAGCCGCAGTGCACCATGGTCGGTGCTTCTGTGTTGGATCATAGGAGTGACGGGGCCGGACGGTCTTACACGGTCCTTGGGTGCGTGGCTGTAGGGGAGTTCCGCGGTGCGGATTGCCATCCTTGTTCTTGTCGTTCTTCCCGTTCTTGCTACTCTTGTTGTCGTCGTCGCCCGCGGGCCGCCCACGACCCATCTGCGACCCGCCCGCGACCCGCCCGCGACCCACCCGCAACCCACCCGCCGCGGCCCACCCACGTTGTTTTAACGATGAGAAATCGGCGCTTGCGGAGTGACTGATGGGTAGCGGCAGGCTTCTTCAACTTTTTCGAGCCTTGCAAACGCAGACTGCCGACGGACCCTCCCCCGCCTGCCCCCTCACTCTTGCCCGCAATGGCGGGAGCGGTGGTAATTTCGCCCATCGGGACGAGCTCACGCACCCCGCTCCCCTGCCCCCCCCCTCTGGACAAGACCAGCACTGCCGTGCGGCATGGTGGTTGCAGGCGGGGCCAGGCATCAGGGGTGCGGTTTGGGGGCAGGCGGTGACGGGCAGCGGCGGCAGGCATGGTGGGAGGCGTGGTGGGCGCCAGGCGCAGAAAAATCAGGCGAGCGACGCGCAAGAAAACACGACGGGTCCTGAGGGGAACGGGTTCTGAGGCTTGTCGCCGTGTTCGGGCTCTCGGAGCCCTTCCACGGTCCCCGGGACCGCCTGACAACGGCTCAGGATGAAAAAACTCGTGCTGGGGGAGAAAGCGCCAGGGTAAAGGACCAGTTTTCCTCAGTACCCGTTTCCCCATGCTACGAATCACCAGTTTGAAACATATCTCTATATTTATGGTTGACATCACCTCACCTCGATGCCGATCTTAAGGATTCCCTCAGTTTCCGAGGGCCTATCCCTAAGATTGTCCTCGCTTTTTGGTCGCCCATCTTAGGGATAGGGATAAGTTCGAGGCTTGTGAAAGAAAGTCCGTTCCACGCCCGCCAGGCCTCGGCATTGCAACACTCCAGGGGTGGAGCGCCCGACCCCGCCTGTGCATGCCGCGGCCGCCAGGCCCCAATGGGGCCCGGCATAGTCTTTGGGGGCTCCGCCTCGCGCTCTCGGGTGGGGATCGCTCGAAACACTATATATATATGTGTATATATATATATGTGTATACCGTTGTCCTTCCTCTAGACACGTTCCTCTTGTTTCTCATCCTGCTCGTCCTCTCGAGGCCGTTTCACTTGGGCACGAGCAGACGGGGTCGGAGGATGGCGCCTCATCGCTGGTGCATCGGCGATGTGGCGTGATCCCGAGACCGATCTTCCCATCCCGGCGTCGTTGACATAACGCCGATGCATCGGCGATGCGGTGCGATCTCCCGACCGCATCCATTAGAGCCCCATCTTAGTGGCATCCATCATGCGTATCCCTTCTCATTCTGCACCTACTCGTGGTGACCCTCGTCATCGTCTTCATCTCGAAGAAGAAAAAAACACATATACATAAATTTTTGGCGTTCCGTGCGGATGTCTTGGATCCGAGCCTGGGCCCCGCGGCGCCGCCTCCGGCGCCGCCCCTGGCGCGCTCCGCGCGACCGGGAGGGGGGTCCAGCGCGAATCCAAGAAATCCGCGCGGAGCGCCAGAAGCTCATGTTAATGTGTGTTTTTTGTTTATTCTTCTATTCTACTCATCCTGCACCTACCCCTGGTGACCCTCGTCATCGTCCTCATCACCGTCGTCCTTCGCCTGCCCAGGCTGCGATGGCCCACACGGGCGTCGTCAAGTCGTTCAACCAGCAGAAGGGCTGGGGCTTCATCGAGTGCGCGGACGGGGCTCGGGGGAGTAGCGTCACATGACGTGCGCTGAACGCTTGTGTTGAATGCGTCTGCGGCGAACCACCGCCGCCCCCCACCCCCTGCCTTTGGAAATGCCACGCGGCCAAACTAACATTAGACCAAAACCCTACCATACGTTTAGACGATGTGCTCGCCCAGCAATTGTAGAACCCTCATGGGAAAGAAAGGGAGGAGAAGGAGGAGGACGAGGAGAAGGAGGAGGAGGAGGAGAAGAAGGAGGAGGAGAAGAAGGAGGAGGGGAAGGAGGAGGAAGAAAGGAGGCCTCCTGAGGCCGCCTTGTGGCTTCTTGGGAGGCTTCCTGGGAGCCTCTGGGAGGCCTTGTGGTCTCTCAGGGGCCTCTGGGGCCTTCGACGGGACCTCTTGGACTTCTGCGCCGTCTTGGAGGCACCTTTGGGGAGTCGTGGGTTCACTGTTGGGAACTAGAATGCCGTCTTGACGGTCTGTGGGGCCAACTTGGGGGCCTCTTGGGCCGCCATGGGGCCCTCTTAGGCAGTCTTGCAGGCCTCTCGTGGGCCGCCTTGGGGCGATCTTGGGAGCTTGTGGGGCCGTCTTGGAGCGTCAGAAGCCCGGAAATGCGAGAACCCTAAAACCGCTGCACCGCTGAGAACCTAAGGAAATCAATGAGTTTGGCCTCCTGGAGATCCTCTTTGAGCCCTCCTGGGGAGTTGTGGGAGCCTCTTCGCCTGCCTGGGGGGCATCTTGGGCCGCCTTGGCGCCATCTTGTCCGTCTTGGAGGCGTCTTGGGACCGTCTTGGAGGCCAACTTGGCCGGCTTGGGGACGAGTTGTTCGATTTTGAGGTTTGTCCTGGTGGCAGGCTCCATAGGCCGAGGGCCACTGGGAACCATGCCAAAATGTTGAACCAGTAAAAAAGTTCAGCACGCCAAGCACCCCTGTAGCAAGCACAGGAGGCTGCGGATTTAGACGCACCCGGCTCAGCCCGCCACCGTGCACGGGTTGTGGGCCAGATGCCAATTTGGTGATGGTTGTGGTCTCTGCGGATGCCGCTCGAAAACCTCGTCAGGTGCCACTGGGGCCTCTTCGGGGCCTTCGGGATGCCTCTTGGAGGCCTCTTTGGGGCCTCTTGGGCGCTTCTTGGAAGCTCCTAGAGGCATGCTGGAGGTCTTGGGAGTTATCTCGGCTTTCCCCATATCGGGCCCCGCTTGGGGCCCTCCTGCGCCGTGTTGGAGGCATCTTGGCCTCCCTGGGGCCCTCCTGGAGATCTCCTGGGCCGTCTTGGGTCGATCTTGGAGACCTCTTGGGCTGCCTTGGAGCGTTGCAGGACCGAAGAAGCGATAATGCTTCAATGCGCGAACACTTTGACGGGAGCATATGTTTGCTTCTTGGGGGATCTTGGGGGTCCTCTTGTCGTGGAGGCCTCTGTGGCCGTCTTGAGGCCGTCTTGGCCGGCTTGGGGCGCTCCAGGGCCCTCCCGGGGTCCTCCTGGAGGGTCTCGATTGCCTCTCGGGGCACGGTTGGGCTGTCTTGGGGCCCCCCCGTGGCCCCAGGAAGAGTCTGCGGCAGGCCCCGAGAAGGATCCGCCGCAAAGGGCACGCGCCACGCCCCCTGAGTTGGGGGGGGGGGGGGTGGGGCCCCCTCCTCCTCCTCCTCCTCCTCCTCCTCCTCCTCCTCCTCCTCCTCCCTCCTCCTCCTCCTCCTCCTCCTCCTCCTCCTCCCCCTCCTCCTTCTCCCCCCCTTCGCCCTTGCCGCTCCACTGGCGGCCACTTGACAGACATTCAGAAGATTCAAAGGATTGCGGACTCTTCGCGCCTCGCCTTCGTTCCTCGAGGCCCGGAGGCGGATTCCACGACCTGCGCACGCCCCCCTTCGTGCCCCGAGGCACGGAGGCGGATCCTGGGGCTCTTCGAACGCCTGCTCGTTTCGATTGCCTTCTGGCCGATGGCCTCCTGCCATGCGCCACCCCTTCCTTTGGGCGAGCCGAGGCCCCCCAGAGCGGCACAGGGCGCAGAGCATACACAGTGGAGGCCCATGCCAAGAAGCACCCTGCTTGCCTCCAGGGTGCCCTGGGTTTCTTGGGTTTCGAGTGTTTTGCCATGGAAAGCGTGACGTTCCCACACCCCAAATCGATGGACGTCCTGGGGTCTCGGGGTTGAGTTTCTTGTGGAAGGTTTCTTGTGGTCGAGCCCCAACTGTATATATACACACAAGACTGAAGTGGCGCTTCGCGCCATGCACCTTGGTCCTTGAAGTTTGGAATGCAGGCGGAATGGCAGGAAGGTCAAGCCGACAATTTAGCGATAACTCCTGGTTGCCTTTTCCGGCAGCGCCGCTATAATGATGTCATTGGTTATCCTTCCTCCATGCTTATTGTTTTTTATTTTCGCCATACCCTGCGCATTTTCCCCATCCTCCTCAGCTCTTTTTTGCGGAGGCTCCTCCTTGGAGAGCCTCTAGGGGCCTCACAAAAGTTGTTTCGGGCTTTCCTAAGGCCTTCTGGAGGCCTCCTGCGCGTATTCTGGGGACCTCCGGGGGCCTTCTCAGGCCACCCTGCCTCCAACCGCCGTCTCCCTGAACAACCGAATCACGATTTGGAATTCTTCGGAGGGTGTCTTTGGGCCATCTTGGGCCGCCATGGGGCTCTCTGAGAGCCATCTTGGACCCGTGTTGTGCCGTTTTGGGGCTCTCTTGGATTGCCTGGAAGCCCTTTCGGATGGTTGTGGGGCGATTTGGGAGCCCCCCAGGCGGCTTCGGACGCCCGAAAGACCGCCGTCTTGGAGCGTCGGGAAGCCGAAAAGAGGAGAACCCCAAACTTCACCAACAACCAACAGAAAATCCATGATTTTTGCCTCGGGAGGCCTTCTTGGGAGTGCTCTTGGAGGCCTCTTTGGGGCCGTCCTGGAGGCCTCTTGGGCCATCTTGAGGTCACGTCGGTCACTTTTGGAGCGCTCTTGTGCTGTCTTGGGGGTCTCTGGGACGTCTCCGATGACCCCCTGATCGCCCTAAGTGTGCTGGGGAGGCTTGGCAAAACGCCTTGCGAGGCCCAGTGGCCGCTTCGAGGTCCGTCCGGAGGGCCCCAAAGCCCCAGGTCCCGGGAGTCCGGTTTTGGGGGGGTGGGGGGGATGGGTTTTCCCCCCGCCCGGGCTTATAAAAGTATAGGAAGAGGAATATGTAACTAGAGAAGGGGGCAGAATGATGGGCCGAAAGAGTCGGACGGTGCTCGAGTCAGCCCGTGGGACAGACGGATCTAGCGCGAGGCGGTCGGGTAGATGAGGGGGGAACAGGGGATGGGCTGCGGGGGTGGGGGGGCGGGGCGACGGCGAAATCCAGGGGAGGACAAGGTAGCCATACCGCTACCCCCTTCCCTCGTTCTTGCCCCTTTTATGGGGCCTCCGGGGAGGCCCTCTCGCCGCCACCGCTGGATTAGCCTCGAGATGCTGGTCAGAGCGCGCCCCGGGAGAGGTCGGGGGAGTAGCGGTATCGGCCCTTGGTCTAAAGGAGGAGGAGGAGGAGGAGGAGGAGGAGGAGGAGGAGGAGGATCATATTTTCTTTGGAGGAGGAGGAGATACATTGTTTGACGGAGGAGGAGGAGGAGGTTTTTTTCTTTGGAGGAGGAGGAGAGTATACTTTTTGACGGAGGAGGAGAAGGAGGAGGAGGAGGAGGAGGAGGAGGAGGAGGAGGAGGAGCAGCAGCAGCAGCAGCAGCAGCAGCAGCAGCAGCAGGAGCAGCAGGAGCAGCAGGAGCAGGAGGACGCAGGCTTCCAACGTCGTGGTGTTCTCGCGACGTGGACCCCCTCAGCTCTCCACCCCATCCCTGGGTATCAGCCTGCCCTCACGGGCCGCTTTCTTGTTGTGGACTGGTCGTGGGACACCCTTGAGGCTTCTGCACAGGAAGTACCGGCTGCCGTGTTCTTCGCGATGCCTGGAGGCACGGGGTCGACTGTCCCTCATCAGCCCGTCGGACACTTCTTCGGTGGCCAGCTGTTCCGACGGGAACCCAGCCGTGGCCGCGAGGAGGCCCCGCGCAGGCCCCACACGAGAGGCGATCACGCCCAATCGCGCCCAAAAACCCAGATCCTGAACCATGGCTCCATCGTGTCGGCGGCGCGTCCAGGGGGCGAAGGCAGCGGGGGCCGGGCCTCCTCGGAAGGCTCAGCAGGCCGCTCCGGCCGTCCGAGGAGCTCTCGGAGCCTCCTCCGCAGCCAGGGGCGGCACCCCAGAAGGCCGCAGGACTTCTGAGAAGCCTCGCAGCCCTCTGAGAAAGCCTGCCCCGTCTCACTTCCACCCTCGGCTCGCCGCCGATCTCCTAATTACCCAGATCCTGCACAAGCCGCGATACTGGCACCCGCCCGCGCAGAGGAGACGTTCCACATTGCCCAGAAGGACATCTTCGTCCTGAAGAGCTCGTTGCCCGGCGGCGTTGCCGCGCCCGGGGATACGGTCCGCTTCGACGTCCAGCAGGGCCAGAAAGGCAGCGACGCCGCATCCCGCTCCTCCTCCTCCCCATCCTTCTCCAAAAGAATATCCTCGTCCTCCTTCCAATAACAATATCCTCCTCCTCCTCCTCCTCCTCCTCCTCCTCCTTCTCCTCCTCCTCCTTCCCCCAAAAAATGCTTCCTCCTCCCAATAAAACTCAACTCCTCCTCCTCCTCCTCCTCCTCCTCCTCCTCCTCCTCCTTTGGACCCCAAGGGCCAAGTTGGACGGAAGAGTAGCCCCAGGCACGGGGTCGAGAACTCCTTGGGCGCACGCCGGAGGTCCGAGGGCCCTGTTCGCCGCCCGTCCGGCGGGGCTCGGTCAGCGTCGGGCGAAGGGGTCTTTTAAAAGTGGGGTCTCTAGAGTTCAAGGCCTCCTCGCTATCCTCCTCCTCCTCCTCCTCCTCCTCCTTCCTCCTCCTCTCTCCTCCTCCCTCCTCGCCTCCTCCTCTCCTCCTCATCCTCCTCCCTCTCTCCTCCTCCTCCTCCTCCTCCTCCTCCTCCTCCTCCTCCTCCTCCTCCTCCTCCTCCTCCATTCCTTCCCCTTATGGATAAATGTCTCCCTGTCGCACCCCGAGGCCAGTTTTTACGGCGGGCCAGGCGTTTCATCTGAGACTTCCTGACCATTTATGATTTTGAAATTGGCAACAGCTTCACAGATGGAGGGCGGGTGGTTTTCAAAAGGTGGCTCTCGCCTTAGCGCGGCGCACATTCGTTTTAGACATGTGCAAGAGTTTCACGGATTGAGGGCGGGGGGGGTTCAACATGTGGCTCTCGCCACTCGCCCTAGCGCGGCGTACATTCGTTTCAAACAATTGCAAGAGTGTCATGGATTGAGGGCTTCATTTTCAACCTGTGGCTATCGCCAAACATTCGCTTTAAACATTTGTATCAGTTTCACAGAATCCCATCATCAACGTACATCAATCGTTTTTTTTTGGAACGGTTCAGGATCATGCGGGTACAACACTTACATTGGCTCTCTGTGTTGAAGTCCTAGGAATGGCGTTCTGGTGCGATTCAAGATCGTCAAAACGCAGCAGCAGGTTGATCCGTGGCGTTAGAATCCCGAGAACAATGTTTTGGCATGCTCCAGGGTCTTCAAACGGGTGTCTTCCAACGAGGCAATTCCATCAATGAAAAATGAACCGCGGCAGGGGCCTATGAAGAGGGAGCTTGGAGGGAGGGTTTACTTACTCAAACATCGTTGATGACTCTTGGGTTTACACTGGTCGTCCTCCTTCTCCTCCTCCTCCTCCGCCTTCTCCTCGTCCTCCTCCTCCTCGCGTTCCTCCTTCTCCTCCTCCTCTTCCTCCTCATCTTACTCCTTCTCCTTCCTAGGCCTCCCAGATGGGGTTCGAGTAGATGGGGTTGGAGGGTCGCGCCGCATCGCCGATGCATCGGCCATGCGGCTTGATGTCCCTCCCCAAGGACAGACGCAGGACATCGAAGCCATCCGCCAGCTCGTCGGGAGAAACCCCTTCGCGCCTATTCGCCCTCCTTCCCGTGCCAGTGAACCCACCCGAACGGACGGCGAGCCTCAGGCGCCCCCTCCAGACGCCCAGGACACGCCTGACAAAGAGTGTTGTGCTCTGGCAATGGAAACGGTGTCGCCGTACGTGCGCGCCCCCGGTACGACCAGCGGCACCCCTGAGTCCGGCGAGAGTCTCGCGGTGACCGACGGGGGCTCGCCCGTGAGCGACGGCGGGCACAGGCCCGAAGGCGGACGCCAGCGGAAAGGGCCTTTCCCCGCACATCCCAGGACAACGTCCGCCCGGGCTGCTGGGGGCGATCCGGCCCCTGCCTGGCGTCCAACCGTGCGGCCCGCACCCTCCCGCAGGGCCCCGCCAGGCGTGCGACCGGAGCTGTCGCGAACAGATTCCGAACCCTCCGTCCAGGACGGCGGGGCTGGTCCGCCAGAGACCTGCGGCCAGAACACGCGGCAGCGCCAATGGCAAGGCCCGTGCCAATGGCCAGAGCCCTCAGATCCCCCGACACGGGACAGCAGCTGCACAAAACAAAGATCGGCACCATCCAGTGGGACCTTCCCGGGGAGAGACCCGGCGAGGCGATAAGGCGGCTCCAAGTCACCCCGGGGGCAATGTTCACAGGCACCTGGCACGCTTTTGCCACGCAGCAGGCCGCGCCTGGCAGCAAAGGCGCGCTCGACCCGCTTCGGCGCGACCCGCAAACCTGCCTGCACTTCCTGGATTCCTTCCGCAGACACAAGTGCGACGCGCGGGCCGTTAGCGACGCGCTGGGCCTCGGCGTCGACTGGGCTCGGCTGCGGCATCGGCACCTGGGTCGAAGCGGCGGCGCGGGCAGGGGTCACCGTGCGGCGAAGGGCCACCCGGACACCCGCGCACCCAGGAAGGGCAAAAAACAGTGGCTGGTCGTCTCCCCACAGTAGCCGTTGCTGCCCCACGTCGCGGCACCGCACTGGCTGTGAAGGGCCCCGCGGCTCCTGTCCAGCGGGCGTATCCCTGGGTTCCCGTCCCGTCGCCACCCCCCCGGCGGGGAGGGGCCCGCGGGGCTCAAGGTGCCCTGTGTCCCGGTGCTGTCGGCCAAGGGCCGTCTGCCTCCTCCCCCCCCGCGCCTGCTCCGTCCTCACTCAACCCAGAGCGGCGGCTTCCCGCGACCTTGGACTCACGCGGGGCGCAGCTGAGGCCACGGGCTCGGGCCCTCCCGCGGATGCTCAAGGGTCTCTTGCATCCCGGTGCTGTCCACCCAGGATGTCTGCTCGGCTCGACGATGTTTCGGTGCCCCGCGGCTCGGTTCGCAGCGCCGCGCGAAGAGTGCTGCGCGCTCTGGGCGCGGCTCCCTCCGCGACCGCTCTGCCCCTCTTCCGTGCTGGCTCGGTGCTCCTGTCCGACTTGTCGTGCCTTCACGCCGCTGCCAACAAAAGTTTAACAGTTTTGGGCGTCGGCAGTGTCCCACCGTGCCCCTTCTCAGTAGAGGCGCTAGCCTTGCAGGAGTCAGCAGGTGCCGTCCAGGAGTTGACATGGCAATTGGGCAGCTGGGCACCAGAGGCTTGACTTGCGTGTTGCGAAAACAGGAGCAGGAGGAAAGAGGAAGGAGGAAGGATGGGTGAGAAGGAGAAGCGGGGGGAGAGTGGGGAGGATGAACCCGGAGATCCGACGATCGTAAAAAATTGAAGCGGCGGGTTTTTTGCCGTTTTCGGCATCCGAAGGTCCTCGCCGGGCCTCGGGACCGCCAAAAAACGACTCGGGACGAAAAACCGGCCCTGGGGAGGTAGTGCAGACTTCCGAGACCCGCGCACGCATCGAAATATTTGGAGCAGCCGGGTGTCTGGGAAGGAAGAGGAGGCGGAGAGGCAAGACGAGGAGGAGGGAAGGCGCGATCGCGCCACATTTGACATCCAACCCTTCCCCCGTCCACTGCGATGATTTGTTTTCTGTCTGCCGATTGGGGCGATCCAGGACAAATTGAACCTTAAAACGGCCTCACCGTGTAATGCGCAATCAGACTGGGCGGCGTTGCACATTGAAAAGGAGGGTGGCGGAGCAGCACGAAGAGAAGCAAGACGATGTGGAAGGAAAAGAAGGAGGAGGAGGAGGAGGAAGAGGAGGAGGAGGAGGAGGAGGAGGAGGAACAGCCTCAGCGGCATCAGCAGGAGGAGCAGGAGCAGGAAGACGTGGAGGACCAGAGGGTCCAGGTCAAGACAGAGGAGGGGAATGGAAAAAGACGGCAACGAAGAAGATGACGAAGAGGAATAATAGTAAGAAGAATAATCATAAGAAGAAGAAGAAGGAGAAGAGGAAAAAGAGGGAACCGGATCCAGAAATGTGGCCCGCGCTGGGGCGGAGCGCCATTCTGAGTGACGGGAGCAAGGCGCCGATCCAGACATGTGGCCATCGCTGCAGCGGCAACACCGTTCATCGACTGAAGAACCGAGAAGGCTCCGATGCTTGGCTGCCTCGATACGCCCGTGTCGATACGCAACACGTGCCGTGTTCAAAACGTCCGTGTCAATACGTCGCGTGTTGGCTCAACGTATTGGCCCACGTTTTGGCGAACGTATCGCGTCAGACCTACGTGTTCAGTCTACGTGTTGAGCTCCGTATCGATGCGCTACGTGTTGCGTGTTGCGTATCGGGGCAGCTCAGCTCTGATCGGGAAAGACTGAGTCGAAAGCAACAGATTGGAAGCCCTGTGCCTGACTGGAGAAGCGGCAGTGGCAAGGCGGCGAGCAGGGCCCGCCCTCCAGACACTGCCTGCCCCATGCGTGTCTCCTGCACCGCGTGCTGACTAGGATCCCGAAGCGAGTTTGCAGCTGCGCTGGCGAGGGCGCCCCAGACTGCACGAAGACACCCCCAGACGTCCAACACTCCGTCTTCGATCCAATGTTCCTTCGCCCCCACTGCCAGTCGATCCCCCTCCCCCGTCATTACAGGGGGCAGGAGACCCTGACCAGTGGAAACGCGAGGCAGCCCCCCCAGTTGCGCCGAACTGGGAAGCTGGGAAGACTGGCTGGGATCATCCCTGTGTCCGCCCTTTTTATTTCTGGCCCTGGCCACGCGCTCGCTTCGGCCTTTGACTGTTTTTCCAGCTCTGGCCACTTTCGCGCCTGTAGGGTTTCCCTTCATGGAACAGCCCAAGCCGATACCCGATCGCCCCCTCCCCGTATGTCATGCTACGTCCGTCCTCCCTATCCTACTCGTTTGTCCCTCCGTCCCTCCCCCCCTTCTCCCTCCTCCTCCTCATCCTCCTCCCCCTCCTCCTTCCGCCCCCCTCCTCCCCCCTCCTCGCTCCTCCTCCATCTTCAGCTCGCAATGTCCTAGCTTGTACAACGTCGACGGTGACATCTTTTCCCCGTCTCAAGGCTCCCGTGTGCACGTGGCGGGGGGGCTGGCTAGATTCTTCTCATCTCTTGAATCTGCATATGGATTACAAACATTGGTACTGCGGGAGGTGTGGACCCATAGCTGACAAGCGGCTACGCTCGTCGGGCAAGCCGTGCACACACCGTCTAACTCCCACAGGTGAAGTATAACTTGATATAACCAATCTCAATGTACCCCCCAAGGTCCTCAGCAAAACCGAAAAGGCCCTGAGGGGGCGTGGGTAGTCCAATGGTGGATCGCACTGGCTTCGCCACTGGTTCCTACTCCTACTCCTCCTCCTTCCCCCCTTTGCCCCCCTCCTCGCTCCTCCCGCCCCCCCCTCCCCCCCCTCCTCCCCCCTCCTCGCCCCTCCTCTCTTCTCCCCGCGTCCTCCCCGCGCCCGCAGGCCCCGAGGCCGCCAACGTGCAGCTCCTCGGCCGCCTGGGCCAGCAGAGGCCCACGTTCCCGCCCTCCGCGGCGCCGCGCATGACCCATCCGCCGGCCTACCCAGGAGAGCACGCTTTGCGCGCCCCCTTTTCTGCCTTCCTGTGGGGGGGGGGGGGGAGGACGCAGCAGGGCAGGAGCAGGGCGAGGAGGGAGAGAGGGAGAGGTGGGGGAGAGGGGGAGAGGGAGGAGAGGGAGAGAGGGGGGAGGGAGGCGAGAAGGGAGAGAGGGAGCAGGGCGGGGAGGGAGGGAGGAGAGGGAGCAGGACGAGGAGGGAGCGAGGGAGCAGGGGAGGAGAGGGAGAGAGGGGGGGAGAGGGGGAGGGAGGGGTCGGACCCCCCCCTCGCCGAGCCTGCAGCCAGGAGCTTCGGCGCAGTGTGCCGCGCCGCCGGCTCTCTGGCCCGCCGCGCCTCGGCGCGACGCGCCCTCCGCGCCCTCCGCGCCCCGGCCCCCGAGCGCCGCGCGTCCCTGCTGGCTGGTCGGGGCCCCCCCGCCCCGCGGAGCAGGAGCGGCACGCTGCCCGCTCGCAAGGCACGCGTGCCGCGGCCGCGTCCCCGGCGACACGCCCTCCTCCTGCTCCTCCTCCTCCTCCTCCTTCCGCCCCCCCTCCTCCTCCCCCTCCCCCTCCTCCTCCTCCTCCTCCTCCTCCTCCTCCTCCTCCTCCTCCTCCTCCTCCTCCTCCTCCTCCTCGGCCGTGTCTGCCCATACGCCCCCGTGGGAGAAAACGAGACGGGCCTGCCAGCGGCGACGGCCTTCGCCCGCCCGCCAGCGGCCGCCGGGCCTGGGCAGACCAGGGGGATAGTGAAGCCGCGCGCCCAGCGGCCAGGATCCGCCGCGCCCGTCCTCCCGTCGCTCCCCAGCAGCATCGTCACCTTCGTCGTCGTCGTCCTCCTCCTCCTCCTCGCTCTCTTCCTCCTCCTCCTCCTCCTCCTCCTCCTCCTCCTCCTCATCCTCCTCCTCATCCTCGTGTTCCTCCTGTTCCTCCTCCTCCTTCTCCTCCTCCTCCTATTCCTGCTCCTCTTCCTCCTCCAGCCATTCTGCTCCAAGCTGCCCCCCCCTGGGCACTTCGAGCTGACAGCGCCAACTTCAGAGTGGCAGTTTGCGCTATCGGGCCATCGGCTCGGCATTCACCTCAGCAGCCGTTTTTCTGGCATGGCCCCTCCCCGCGGCAACAATGACTGGAAGGCACCGTGGCAGGCGGGCTCGACAACAACGCAGGCGTGGAAGGCCCCGTGGCAGGCGTGGAAGGCCCTCCACGTGGCAACAATGATGGCGCCGCATCTCCGAGTGCGGCAAAATCCTTTTCTCGTGGGCCAATTTCCAGCATTGCGGCGAGCACTGGTCCAATCCGTCCCCTGCTACGTTCCACCCCGTTGACCGCATGGGGCGCGGGCGCAGCAGGGTCGGCTCAAGCGCTCCAGTGCGATGCAGTTGCCTGTGGGTAATCAGGCTCCTCTTCGTCCAGGGCCTGAGGGCAATGGGCCTGCCTCTGCTCGTTCACGGTCAGCCATCCTCTCCGATGACGAGCTCAAGCAGCTCATCGCCCTCGGGGAGAAGGCTGGCCAACATGAGATGGGCAAGTGGCACAAGATGGAGCTCGGGCGCCGCCAGCAGCAACCGCCCCCTGCACAGCTCCGTGCTGATGAGGCGTTCCGTCCCATCGGGTACCTCAAGTAGAAGCTGGCCGACGATGTCTCGAGTGCTGACAACCTGTCCGTGCAGTTCCAGAATTCATGCGGCAAGGGAAAGAGCACCGAGTACGAGCTGTCCAAGGCCGAGGAAGAGTCACCAACTGGCTCCAAAAAGGGGCCCCGAGGCCCTTTGTTGGGACCGTTCCTTCCCCCCCTCCCCATGTGGGGTCACCCCCCATCACCACCCGCCCGAAGGGGTGAAACAGACCTCGAGCACCACCCCAGTCCAGACGTTTCCGTGGTTTGCGCGGCTCCTGGGTGGCGGATGTGGCAGAAGGCGAAACAAGTTTCGAGCGCCACCCCAGTGGGCAGCCACAACCTCAGGGAGGAGGCGCCGCCCCTCCAGTCGTAAGGCTTGGCAGACGGTCAACTCCTCTCGGCGGCGCGCCTGGTGGGATCAGTCAGAGGAAGGAAGCCTTCTCAGAAGGCGGAGGGGCTTCCAGCAAGCCCTCGCGCCCTATGAGAAGTCGTCGGCGTCTTCGTGGAAGGCTCAGCAAACTCGCAGATGGCCCGAGGCCTTCCGAGCCTTCTGAGTAGGCCCGCCCCTTTGTCATTTCCCTCTCGCGCTCGCCACCGCTCCTCCTCCTCCTCCTCCTCCTCCTCCTCCTCCTTCTCCTAATCATCATCATCACCATCATCATCATCAACATCATCATCATCAGCAGCACCATCATCATAGGCATCATCCTAATCATCATCATCATCATCATCATCATCATCAGCATCATCATCATCATCATCAGCCTCAGCATCAGCATCAGCATCGTCATCCTCATCATCACCCTCATCATCAGCCTCCTCGCCAGCACCAGCAATAGCATCGTCATCGTCATCATCACCATCATCAGCATAGCCATCATCTTCTGCGTCATCATCTCCATAACTATCATCATAATCATCATACGCAACAGCAGCTGTAGCAGCATCATCATAATCGTCATCATCCTCATCAGCAGCCGCAGCATTCTCATCACCATCTTCATCATCATCAGCATGCTCACTTCATTAATACATCCCCAGGCCGAAAGTTTTCCTCTTGGGCTACAACTATGAGAACGCCAATGGATCCAATTGGATCCCTTTTTTCAGGTTTGGGAGAGTTTCGTGGATCCTATTTCTGTGTTGCGCGGATCAAATTTCCTGTGTCCGCTCACCTGAACGGCGCGTCGCTTCCGACATGTGGGGCTCAAGAGGAACATCTTTCGGCCTGCGAAAGTGGGATTTCGAGCTGCGTTTTCCCCGCCAACACTTGGTGCGTGGAAGTGCGAGAGGGGTGCTAAACCCTTCATTCCCAGGCCGAAAGTTCTTTCCTATTGGACTACACATATGAGAACATCAATGGATCCATTTGGATCCCTTTTTCGGGTGTGGGCGAGTTTCGTGGATCCTATTTTTGTGTTGCGTGGACCCAATTTCCTGTGTCCGCTCACCTACGCGGCGCGTCGCTTCCGACATGTGGGGCTCAAGAGGAAAACCTTTCGGCCTGTGTAAGTATCAGCGGCATCGGCATCAGCATCAGCATCTTCACGCGCCCCCATCAGCATCAGCATCAGCATCATACACAGCATTACCACCATCATCACCATCATCATGGTAATCAGCAGCAGCAGCACCATCATCATCAGCAGCAACATGAGCATCATCACTACCGTCATCACCATCATCAGCGCCAGCACCACTCATCATCAGCATCAGCACCACCACGGTCATCAGCAGCAATAGCATCCGTAGCACCATTGTCAACACCACCACCATCCGTCATCACCACCACCAGCATCATCAGCATCGTCATCGTCACTATCACCATCAGCATCGCCAGCATCATCTGCATCATCAGATTCATCATCACCATGCCATGTTCATCACCATCAGCATCACCGTCATCATGGTCATCACCGCCATCATCGTCATAGCCATCATCATTATCATCACCATCATCATGATCATAATCATCGTCAGCAGCATCACCATCATTACCATCATCGTCGTCATCATCTTCAACACCAGCATCATCATTATCAGCATCATCACCAGCAGCATCATCATCGCCATCATCAACATCACCATCACCATCATCATCATTATCATCATCATCATCATCATCATCATCATCATCATCATCATCATCAGCATCAGCATCAGCATCATCATCATCAGCATCATCATCAGCACCAGCATACGCATCATCGTCGTCATCAGGAACAGGAGAAGCGGCGAGAGGAGGGCCGGGAGGAGAGGCAACGACGTTGCCGCCCCTCCCTCGCTCTGCTCCGCTGCTCCTGCGCTCCCCTCGCACCGTCTCCTCTGCACCCCTCCTCGATCATCCTGCTGCGTCTCCTGCTGCTTCTCCTCCTCCTCCTCCCCCTCCCGGCCATCCTGATCGTGCCTTCCCTCCTGCCCCGCCCCCCCCCCCCCATTCCAGGATTGGCCCCACCTTTCCCTCGCCCTCTTGCCCCCCTTCGCGCCCCTCCTCGCTCCCTCCTTCGTCCTCCTCCTGCTGCTGCTGCTCCTCCTGCCTCCCCTTCGGGGGGTCACAGAGGAAGTGCTATTACAAGGTGGAGGGTCGCAGAGGGGGGGTTCGCAGAGGAAGCCCTTCCCCTCCCTCAGGGGTTCGTAGAGGGGGGGGGCGTAGAATGAACGCGCCCCGCTGGGTGCATAATTATGTGTCGGCTCATTCATAGTCTTCTGGGTAATTCTTTTATTTGCATTCGTATCATTATTCTTCTTACGCTTCTTCGTACTCCGATCATGTATCATTAGTATTATCATTCGCCGTATTCGTAATACGATTAGTGAACGGAATGAGCGCGCGCGAGAGGAATGAACCCGCCGCTGCTAGGGCGAAGTCAAGACAAATGAATCTCTCCCGTCCGTCCGTCTGTCCGGCGGTGGCTCGCGGTGTCCCGCGGTGTCCCGTGGTGTCCCGTGGTGTCTTGTGGTGTGCGCCGCTGCTAGGGCGAAGTCAAGACAAATGATTATCCTCTGTCCGTCCGTCTGTCCGGCGATGGCTCGCGGTGTCCCGTGGTGTCCCGTGGTGTCCCGTGGTGTCCCGTGGTGTCCGCCGTTGCTAGGGCGAAGTCAAGACAAATGATTCTCCCCCGTCCTTTCGTCCGTCCGGCGGTGGCTCGCGGTGTGCCGCGGTGTCCCGTGGTGTCCCGTGGTGTCCCGTGGTGTCCCGTTTAGTGAGATCGATCGTGAGATCGATGTGGTGTCCCGTGGTGTCCCAAAAAGTGAGACCGATAGTGAGATCGACAGGTGTCCCGTGGTGTCCCGTGGTGTCCCGTTGAGTGAGATTGATACTGAGATCGATATTGGGATCGATAGTGAGATCGATGTAGTGTCTGTGGTGTCCCCAATAGTGAGATCGATAGTGAAATCTATCGTGAGATCGACAGGTGTCCCGTGGTGTCCCGTTGAGTGAGATCGATCCCCAAAAGTGAGATCGACAGTGAGATCGACAGGTGTCCCATGGTGTCCCGTGGTGTCCCGATGAGTGAGATCGATCGTGAGATCGATAGTGGGATCGATGTGGTGCCCCGAGGTATCCCGTGGTGTCCCGTGGTGTTCCTTTGTTTGATCGATTGTGAGATCGACAGGTGTCCCGTGGTGTCCCGTGGTGTCCCGTTGGGTGAGGTTGATAGTGAGATCGATAGTGAGATCGACAGGTGTCCCGTGTTGTCCCGTGGTGTCCCGTTGAGTGATATCGATAGTGAGATCGAGTGGTTCAGATGTTGGTTCCCCCCCCTCTCCCCCCCCACAACCTCCGTATCACCAGAAGGGTGGTCGTATAGGTATCCATACTAGTAGTCTTACACGGGTATTCGCATTCCTGTTATGATTTGTTATGGGCATTAACAGTCGCACTCAATGTCTTGTTCTTAGTATTCGTATTATCAGTGTTTAGCCTGTGCATTGCTATTATCATTAAGTTTAGTCGTGATAGTGTTGGTGGTAGTAGTCGTAGTAGTTGTAGTATTTGTATTACTCGTATTAACATTCGCAATGCGAGTGCTGACGCTCTTAGTGTTACTGCTATTAGTATTGTTGGTATTGTTTTATAATGTTATTAGCATTGCCTTTTTTATTGTTAGTAGTATTCTTATGAGTCTGATTATTAGTGTTTGGATCCGTCTTGTTCTGCTTCGCCCAGGAGCCGTTTGGAACGATGTTCCTCCCGACCCCACCCCTGCCCCATGCTCCACCTTTGGTTGGGTCTCGCCTTGAACAGAGCAGTGTGATATTCACCTCCTCCTGTCTTCCCCATTCTCAATCCTCTTCCTCTCTCCTCCCGCCTGCCTTCTGCCTCCTGCCTCGTGCCCGCGGTCTGCGAAGCTGTCGCCACTTTCGTGGGCTCCTGGGAAGTCCAGCGGAGGGGTTTCCCACGCAAATCACCACGAGACCTCGCCGTTTGCTGGGGGGCTGCGATCTGCGACGCTGTCGCAATTTTCGTGGGCCCCTGGGAGGTCCAGCGGAGGGGTGTCCAACGGTGATCACCACGAGATCTCGCCGTCCCTGGAGGGCAGCGATCTGCGAAGTTGTCGCCACTTTCGTGGCTGTCTGGGAGGTCCAGCGGAGGGGTGTCCCACGCAAATCACCACGAGACCTCGCCGTTTGCTGGGGGGTTGCGATCTGCGATGCTGTCGCCACTTTCGTGGGACCTTCGGAGGTCGAGCGGAGGGGTGTCCCACGCAAATCACCACGAGACCTCGCCGTTTGCTGGGGGCTGCGATCTGCGAAGCTGTCGCCACTTTCGTGGGACCTTCGGAGGTCCAGCGGAGGGGTGTCCCACGGGGGTCACCACGAGACCTCGCCGTTTGCTGGGGGGCAGCGATCTGGTTGTCGCCACTTTCGTCGGCCCTCGGGAGGTCCAGCGTAGGGGTGTCCCAGGCAGATCTCACCACGACAACTCGTCGTCCCTGGGGGACCAACAGTGATCACCACAGATCTCGCCGTTTGCTGGGGGGCAGCGATCTGCGATGCTGTCGCCACTTTCGTGGGACCTTCGGAGGTCCAGCGGAGGGGTGTCCCACGCAAATCACCACGAGACCTCGCCGTTTGCTGGGGGCTGCGATCTGCGAAGCTGTCGCCACTTTCGTGGGACCTTCGGAGGTCCAGCGGAGGGGTGTCCCACGGGGGTCACCACGAGACCTCGCCGTTTGCTGGGGGGCAGCGATCTGCGAAGTTGTCGCCACTTTCGTCGGCCCTCGGGAGGGCCAGCGTAGGGGTGTCCCAGGCAGATCTCACCACGACAACTCGTCGTCCCTGGGGGACCAACAGTGATCACCACAGATCTCGCCGTTTGCTGGGGGGCAGCGATCTGCGAAGTTGTCCCCACTTTCGTGGGCTCCTGGGAGGTCCAGCGGAGGGGTGTCCCACGCAAATCACCACGAGACCTCGCCGTTTGCTGGGGGGCTGCGATCTACGAAACCGTCGCCACATTCGTGGGCTTTTGGGAGGTCCAGCGGAAGGGGTGTCCCACGAGGACCATCACGAGACCTCGCCGTCCCTGGGGGGCAGCGATCTGCGAAGCTGTCGCCACTTTCGTGGCCTTCTGGGAGGTCCAGCGGAGGGGTGTCCCACGCAAATCACCACGAGACCTCGCCGTTTGCTGGGGGGCAGCGATCTGCGAAACCGTGGCCACTTTCGTGGCTTTCTGGGAGGTCCAGCGGAGGGGTGTCCCACGCAAATCACCACGAGACCTCGCCGTTTGCTGGGGGGCAGCGATCTGCGACGCTGTCGCAATTTTCGTGGGCCCCTGGGAGGTCCAGCGGAGGGGTGTCCCACGGGGACCACCATGAGACCTCGCCGTTTGCTGGGGGACTGCGATCTGCGAATTTGTCGCCACCAGTCCCATGAGGCATGGGCGGCTGGGCATATAAACCCGGCGGCAGTCAGGCACAGGGCTGAACACATGAGGGACAGGCAGATGTGATCCCAGCCCTGCTTATAGTCGCCCCGTGGACGCACGACCTCTCCCCGTCGCATAACGCATGGCGGTGTTACATCACACATCGCGGTGTGTGCGAGCGCCGCGCAGCGAATAGCGCATGGCGTTTTCCGTTGCCTATGCCGCATCCCTTCTTCAGCTGCCTGTTGCTTGTAATGCATGCGGGCACATGCTACGTTCAGCGCACGGCGCTGTACTGTCATAGCGCGCAGAGCGTTGTCCTGTATTGCGAACACAGCGCAAGGCTCTGCTACGCCCACGAATCATGTCTCCAATCGTCCTTCCTCATGTTTCCACGCCTCCTCGTGGTCGCTCTCCTGCCAACGACGTGACTCTTAAGAGTCACGCCGCATCTGCGAAACATCTGCCCGACGTTTTTTGGTGAAGCGTTCAAGGGCATTGCGGATCATTCAACGTGCTTTTGCATTGAGCGATCCGATGCTTATCCGCCCCATGCTTACAAAGGGGTCGGTACGTCCCCAGGCAGTAGTCCTCCTGGCTCACCTCCTCGTGGCAGTCCTCCTCCTGCCCCCCCCTCCCCCTTGGTCCCCCCTTCCCCTGGCCCCCCCGCCCTTCTTCCTCGTCATTACCAGCACTCTGGCTCAAACCATTGTATTGTGCATCAGGCGTCAAGCTGAAGATCGCGCGACGTGTCGAGCCATGCGCGCTGCGCTTCTGAAGCGGCCTTGCCTCACGTCACCGAGCCTGATCGGAGACTGGGCGGGGTTGGGCTGGGGCGAGAAGCCGGGACGTCCATTTCAGGCCGAGGTTCGAGGGCAATCAGGGGCTGGGCTCCCGAAGTTGCCGTGGCAGCGGCCGTTGCGGGTGGTCTCGGTGTTTTTTTTTGTCTCCTTTCAGGCGTGCAGGACCCATTTCGATCCGACGGACCCAGCTCACAATCAATTTCGGCAATTGCTCCGACTCGTTTCCGATGTCTTGGAGATCCGATGCGGCTCGATGCTTACTTGACGCTGTCGTGCAGCCTGGCGCAGCCGACCCAATTCGATTTCGAATCCGTGCCGACGCACCCCGATCCGACACACATTCCGATTCGATTCGACCTCCCGATCCGGTGTTGATTGATCCTGGGTGTGAAGAGTACGGGCATGATCGATCATCCACGGAACATGCGATAGTTACCCCCGTAGTAATGTATGTTCGGCTTGTTTCGCCGACCTCTGGCGACGACGATGACGACGACGAGGGCGACGACGACGATGACGACGACGCAGGCGACGACGACGACGACAACGACGACGACGACGACGACGACGACGACGACGACTGACGGCCTTCGCCGTCCCGCGCCTCACCCACTGCGACTAAGCAGATTGAAGTAAACGAGCCGGCCAGCCAGCAGGTGCCCCGCACGAGCGCGACCAGCTCGGGTGTATGTACTGTGCCCAGTTGAAAAAGATGAGCGACACAGAAAACGGGGTCGTCTGCACGGACATTGGCACGCAGCCTGCTCGCGTAAAGTCGCGTGAGAGCGTCCTCGTTTCCAGTGTGGCGTGCCGCGCCGGCGGCCCGCGTAAGCCGCCGCGTGATGTCGCTAGGTCATCTTGCGCACGTCCCGTTTACTTTCGTCGCTGAGGTGACACTTGTGGCGCCTAGCGCAGTCGAGCATCGATTCTAAATGTCCCCGTGGAGATCAGATGGTGAAGTTTTATTTCGTGCGCACTTGCTGCATGATGGGCGCCTGGGGGCAGGCAAACACAATGTTAACACGCATTTTTTTTTGGGGGGGGGATCTTGGGAGGGAAAAAGTGGGTCACGAAACGCGCAAGTGGTTTCAGCCCCGCCCCTGGGCACATTCTTCGATCAATTGTCGCTCCTGGCGCTGGCGCGTTTCGCTACCCCGCTCCTCCTCTGTCGCCCGCATCGACAGGCGCCTGTGTGGAAGGCCCTGATCGACTTGGGGAAGGAACCAGGGGCGCCGACGGGGGGGGCCCGGTTCAGGGAGGAAAGGTCTACCCGAATCGCCAATTCGTCATCGACTGGGGCCCAGACCCCCCACCCCGCCCATGAACGTCTGGTTTCGCTATCGGCCCCCAACGCCGATCTATCGGCGATGTATCGACGATTTCAGGTCAGTGTTCCCCCCAAGGAGCCCGTCCCCAAGCAAGGAGGAGCAAGGAGGAGCTGCGAGGAGGGCACGAACGGGGCGGCATGGCGGGGCGTGGTTGGGCGGCGGCCCCGCCGCGCGAGCGCACCGAGGTCTTACAACCACGAGAAGGGGTGGGGCTTCATCTCCAGCCCTGCGCTCCAGCAGACCCTGGGGAAGGACTCCGGACGCCGTGGGAGTGCTCGTCGCGGGGCCGTGCAGCGCGCCCCCGTCGCTCCTCCACCCCTCTCTCGCAAGCGGCTCCTTCTCGTCGCTCCGCCAAGATCGCTTCCAACCCGCACGATCGCTCGCACCAGAAATTGATGCACATCGGCTGATCTTCACACCGTCGTAGGGGGTCATGGCGCCCACGGCGCTCTCGCTCGATACGCCCTTTCGATGAAGCCACCTGGCGGCGTCCTGTGATCCGAGCCCCCACAGCGCTCCCAGGCGCTCGCACGTTCCCCCTTCCGGCTTGTGGGGAGGAGGAGGAGGAGAAAGAGAAGGAGGAGGAGGAGGAGGAGGAGGAGGAGGAGGAGGAGGAGGAGGAGGAGCAGGAGCAGGAGGTGGAGGAGAAGGAGCAGGAGGTGGAGAAGCAGGAGGAGGAGGAGGAGGAGAAGGAGGAGGAGGAGGAGGTGAAGGAGGCGGAGGAGGAGGAGGAGGGAGGAGCAGGCAGGAGGTGGAGGAGAAGGAGCAGAGGTGAGGAGCAGGAGGAGGAGAGGAGGAGGAGGAGGAGGAGGAGGAGGAGGAGGGAGAGGAGGAGGAGGAGAGGCAGGAGCAGGAGGTGGAGGAGAAGGAGGAGAAGGAGGGAAGGAGGAGGAGGAGGAGGAGGAGGAGGGGGAACGGTACACAGCCGGCGGCTCGCGCTCGGGAGGTGCGGGGAGGCGGGGGGGAGCGGCCAAAGTGCAGTCGGCGCGCGGCCGTGCGGCCGAGGGGAAGGCTCGTCTTGCGTGCGCAGGCAGCCCTCGGAGTCCATAGGGGAACAACAAGTGACATAGACATAAAAACTCAGAGGTCCGCGCGGATTTCTCGGATCGGCGCTGGGGCCCCCCCGGCGGCGCCTCCGGCGCCGCCCCTGGCGCGCTCCGCGCGCCATGGAGGGGGGTCCAGCGCCGATCCCAGGAATCCGCGCGGACCTCCGAGTTTGTATGTCTATGCCACTTTTTGTTCCCCTAGTCCAGGTGGCTCAGGGACCCCGCAATGCTCAGGCGGCTGGGGCTGCTGGGGATGCGCTGGTGGTTCGCGGTGCGCTGGCAGCGCGTGGACACAACCAAGCAGGCACGATCAGCTCGTGATGTGCAAGTGGTTCGGGGAGAGCGTGATTTGTTGCACCGACGGAAGACTGCTGGCACGATGGGCGTACGATGTGCAGCTTGGTTGGGCAGGGCCGAAGTCTTTGCTGGCGGCGGAGCCGGGAGGTTTTGTAGGAGGCGAGGTTGCCGTGCGTGCTGCATTCGACGTCTGGTGGGTTGTGAGGTTTTGCGGGGAGCAGGGTGCACTGCTCTCGTCGGTTCTGCTATCGAGGGAGAGATTCTGCTGGCAAAATTCCCAGCAGGTGTGGCTTGCCTCAGCAGCACTCCAGCCAGCACTAGAAAGGGAATGGGAGGAGAGGGAGAAGGACAGGAATGCGGAGGAGGCTGAGGACGAGGAGGAACCAGCAACAGGACGGCACTAGTTGTGCCACCTTCCTGCCTGGCACTCCTGCTCTGCGGCATGCACCCGTCGATGGATTTGTCACTGGTAGCCTCCGCCCCCCGCCCCAGACATCCGCCGTCGTGATTTTTCCGCAGCGTGGCCCCCCAGGGTTGTGGATTCCTTCCCCGGGACCAGCTTGTCTTAAGTCGGGCCTGCTCCTCTACAGGAGGAATATCCCAAAATAGTCAAAAAATACTCTGGGGACTATTTTTCTGTATTTTTGAATTTTGTTGGGAGCATTTGGGGGGTATTTTTAATTTTTCGTCCAAAGTCGGCCTGTAGGGGGACAGGCCAGACCTAAAGCTTGCCACCCCGAGTCGTTTCTTCGCCCGAGCCCAGGCAGGGGAGGCCCACAAAGAGGCCCACGAGTGCCGAAAGCTGTCCGCCGTGCCTCCCTTCGCAGCGCGAAAAAAGTGCCGTCTGCGGGCGATCGCTCGGGCCGCCGGCGGCCGTTCGAGGCGACCCCTAGGCACCCCTCGAGCGCTCCCGGCGGGGCGAAGCCGCCGGAAGGAACCCTGCAGCTGGAGAGCCGCCGAGAACCGACGGACATATTTTAGAGAACCTCGAACGACGACGACGACGACGACGACGATCGGAGGGGTCTCTCCGGTTCGCGTCGCAGTCTTGCTCTGCTCAGACTGCCTCGGGCTATGCTCCTCCTCCTGCTCATCAGAATCATCAGAATCATCATCAGCAGCAGCATCATCAGCATCATCATCATCATCAGCAGCAGCAGCATCAGCATCAGCATCAGCATCAGCATCATCATCATCATCATCATCATCATCATCATCATCATCATCATCATCATCATCATCCCTCCTCCTCCCTCCTCCTTCCTCCTCCCCTTCTCCCTCCTCCTCGTCCTCCTCCCTGACCTCCTGCTCGGGCTGCAGCGGGCTCTCCTCGCAGGACATCTTCTTCATGAAGAGCTCCGTCGCCGGCGCGGCAGTCCTGGGCCCTGGCGCCGAGGTGTCCTTCAACGTCACGCAGGGGCAGAAGGGCCCCGAGGTCGCGCGCGGGGCTTCCGGGTCATGCGGCACGATTGGGGGCAGCGGGAGAGAACGAGCAGGAGGAGAAGGAGGAGGAAGAGGAGGAGGAGGAGGAGGAGGAGGAGGAGGAGAAGGAGGTGGATGGAGGAGGAGGAGGAGGAGCAGCAGGAGGAGGAGGAGGAGAAGGAGCAGGAGGAGGAGGAGGAGGAGAAGGAGGAGGAAAGAGGAGGAGGAGGAGGAAGAAGACGAGATGAGGAGGAGGAGGAGGAGGAGGATGATGAGAAGGAGAAGCAGGAGAGGAGGAGGAGGACGACGACGACGAGAACGACGGTCGCCTCCTTGGCGACGTCCTCAGCGAGGACCAGGGGCAGCGGGGGAGGATGAGCAGCAGGAGGAAGAGGAGCAGGAGATAGCACAGGGAGGACGAGGTGTCTGGTACTCTTCTCCACGGGTGCACTGTTTGTGAGTGCGTGCGTTCTGTCGAGAGCGAGCCTCCGGACTGTGCTGCCAGTCCTGCCAATGCTGCAGTAAGCTCGTCGCTGGGGCCGGCGTTGGCCGAGAGACGTCTCGTGCCGCTGCCTGAGTTTCAGAGCCCTGGTCTCGCTGGAGTCCCTCGAGAGCTTTGGTCTCGTGACACGCACCTCGAGCTTTCTGAAGACATGTGTCTTGATGGCCCCTGTTTCGAAGGAAGCGTTCTGCATCTTGCCTCCGCGGGATGGGCTGTGGTCGCCCTCGAGCCAGGCATCAGGCACCCTGCCTGCGTTGTGTGTGGGGGAGTCTCTGGTCGACCTTATGCCCAGTACCAATGGAGCTGAACTGGTTGCGTTTTCGTTTGCGCTCAGGCACGCTATGCCGCTATGCCGTTATGCCTAGCAGCGTCGTCCACACAGATAGTACTTACGTCTGGAAAGCTGTGTGCAGACGTGGCAAGGGTTATTGTTGTCACGTTGTTTGTTTTAAACGCGTTTCTCTGGGCTGAGGTCGGGAGGCTTTTGGGATACGTGGGTGAATGCTTCAACGGCCTAGCGGTGAA